GACAGACAGAGAGAGACAGAGACAGAAAGCGAGAAATCACCCCCCAGGGGGGATGGCCACGCCGCAGTCCCTTCTCCTCCATTCTCCTCTCGGGATCTTGGGCACGCACGCACACGTGCCTGGCATGAGTTTTAAGCCACCGGGTCCGGGACGCGAACCGCGGTCGACTACGTGGGAGTCCACCGACATAGCCATTACACTAACTGCTGGTCCCAATGATTCTTTAAAAACAAAATTTTTTGGTTTCCTTTGAAAGATCTAAAAGATTGAAAGTCATAAAGTAATAATCTTTTTGAAAAGTTAGAACTCATATAAAAGAAGCTAAAATTGGGCTAGCCTGTGGCAGGATGGTTACTGCAGCTGGATCCTTCAAGGCCATTCTGGTTCAAGACCAGACTCACAGCTCAAACCTGGACCCAGTGGCTTGAAAAACACACCAGGCAAATATGCATTTCCCAAATCCCTAAAGGAAGAGAGAGGGAGGAGAAGGGATGCCTCATAACCATTCCCCACATTCTCATTTTGCCTGCCTTTCTGTCTCTCTTTGGTGAGTGCACATGCCCTTTGTCAGAATTTTTTAAAAAGAAGCTAAAATTGACTCTACCATCCCCTGATTGTGTGTTGGCCTTTCTAGTATTTTTTTCTACCTTTTTAAAATCATGGTGTATGGTAAAGTTCATCATTGTGTTTTGGCTTACTCATTTACAATTCTAGTATTACTGTCACTTCTAAGATTTTTCTCAAATCATCTTGATGGGTGTTTCAGATTTTCCAAAACTATTTGCCTACTTGTAGTTCATATGTATTTTCTAGGTGATTGATAACATCCACTAATAGGTTTCCCTGGCCACCACTGCAAGGGCAGTCTCATTTTCTGTAGTGAAGATTTTTGTGGAATGCTTCTCAGTGTATTGAAAATATCTTAAGTATGCTTTCTGTATCATGAGAAAGTTCCCATGTCAATCTTTTCTAACCTATTTACAAATGTAAAGAGTGTAAGATTTATTTTTTGTAGATTTCCCAAGATATTTATGTACTTTGCTAGATAGAAGAAATGTGTGTGGTTTTTTTTGTTGTTCAGGTAAACAGTTTTAGCCCATTTGAAGACATGTAATTTAGCAAGTGATCATATTGTTGAAAAGAATTTTCAGACTAAGTTTTTTACTTTTTGAAAACTGTTTTTTATGAAAGAGAAAGAGTGTTAGGGAGCTAAGTGCATGAATGTATGTGCAAGAGCATGGAAGGAAGAGTAGGGAGAAGGGGATGGCATTTTTGATAGCATCTAATGTTGGAATCTTTTGTCCCAGCCTCCCAATTAGGTAGAATTGCAGGTATGTGCCACCACGCCCAGCATGTTCAGGTTCGTATAAGATCTGAACTTGGGTGTCTCATGTGGCCACAGTCTCCCTCCTTGGTCCCCTACCTACCTGTGTTCTGTGATTGTGACACAGGAACGGGGTGTGGGGTGGGGTGATCTAGTCTACACTTGCAATGAGACTCAGGTTCTTTTTTTTTTTTTTTTTTGAGAGATTTTCACTGTAGGGCGCGTGCGCTCCCCAGACCGCCAGAGAGATAGAGACAGAAAGCGAGAAATCACCCCCCAGGGGGGATGGTCACGCCGCAATCCCCTCTCCTCCATTCTCTTCTCGGGATCTTGGGCACGCACGCACACGCGCCCGGCGTGAGTTTTTTAAGCCACCAGGTCCGGGACACGAACCGTGGTCGACTTCGTGGGAATCCAGCGACATAGCCATTACGCTAACTGCTGGTTCCCGAGACTCAGGTTCTTGTCCCACCCACAGGAAGAATTGAGAGTCATGGACACAGCAGGTGTAGCAAATTGGGGAGTTGATTAAAGGAGAGGGAAGGAAAAACAGAGCTCCCAAGAAGGGAGGGAACAGGAAAAATGGTTTGTCAAGGAAGAACTGTGGCAAGGGGTTTTTATGTGGATGAGGAAGAGCTTTGTCTGGACCTTGGGTTCTAGGTCGGGCTTGTGCATTCCTGTCTTGGTAGGGAGGGACATGTGCTGGATGGATCCAGTTATTTTCCTAACTTAGGTGTGCGTTCCAGGGTCTAGAGAGTCTTTGTCTAGAAGCTTTGAGCCATGAAAACCATTATCTTACTTTCTTCCTGGAATGTGGTAGGACATGGAAAAAGCCTTTGTTTTAGGTCTAGGTCATATTGCCTAGGTTAGTCACTGAGCCATCACTGGCTCCATCTCAGAACTTAGCCATTTTTTGACTCCATCTTGGGCCCATACCTTAACTATATTTTTAGGGTCCCTGTCTCCTACCTCAATTGGACCATGAAAAAACAGTTCTTAGATTTGACGAACTTTGTTTTGTGAGGACAATTTCTGTAATGTTTATGTGTAGTAAACCTTCATTAATTGGTGATTTGATTTTCAAGAAGTTAAATTGTCCAAAAAGTAATCCATTTTATTTTTTTAAAATATTTTATTTAGCTTTATTAATATTATTATTACTATTATTATTTTTAATTTGACCAGGGAGAGAGAGAGAGAATGAAAAAGCAAGCCACTGGGTCCAGGACTTGACCCATAGTTGGCCGTGTGAGAATCCACCACCTGCTGGCCCCATCAATTTTATTTTTTAAGTAGTAAAATTTAAGAATACACAGAACTTGCATTGATCTATATACTAATTTCAGTAACAACATTATTGATTCTAGAGTTTAATGGGATTTAACATTTATTACAAGTCATTGTTTACAGTGTTGAAATCTTTTGAAATGAATGAATAAAGTCATTTTTTCCCTATCAGGTATATTCAAGAGCAAATGACCAGGAACCATGTGGATGGTGGTTGGCTAAAGTTCGGATGATGAAAGGAGAAGTAAGTGATCTTGATGATACTTGCTTTGTCCTAGTTTCCTTGTAAATACATTAGCCCCTGGTTTTTGTAAGATATTACTTCAACTCAAGTTTTGTTTCTAAAACTCTTACCTAAGAAATAGTTGATCAGGGAACCAGCAGTTAGCGTAATGGCTATGTCGCTGGACTCCCGCGTGGCTTAAAACTCACGCCGGGCACGTGTGCGTGCGTGCCCAAGATCCCGAGAGGAGAATGGAGGAGAAGGGATTGCGGCGTGACCATCCCCCCGGGGGGTGATTTCTCGCTTTCTGTCTCTATGTCTCTCTCTGTCTGTCTGGCGAGCGCACGCGCCCTACAGTGAAAATCTCTCCCAAAAAAAAAAAAAGAAATAGTTGATCAAAAATTTAAAACATTGATTATATTGGTAGTTTCTTTGTGTTTTGTGTTGGCAAAAACTAAAGCTGTTCTCCAGAGGTCCTGCTTATAAGAACCTCTAATCTGCCAATAGTTTAGGAAAATCAAATCAATGTGTGCTTAGTATTTATGCTTCCTGGGGGAGGGTTTACTGGTTAAGCTAAGCCAGGTAATTAAAACTTCATTTAAAGTGTCCCCCCCCCCTTTTTTTTGTTCAAATGGAATTTTTAAAGCATTTTGATGTCTTTTAGTTTTACGTCATTGAATATGCTGCTTGTGATGCCACTTACAATGAAATAGTCACATTTGAGCGACTTCGACCTGTCAATCAAAATAAAACTGTCAAAAAAAATACCTTCTTTAAATGCACAGTGGATGTTCCTGAGGATTTGAGAGAGGCGTGAGTAATTTTGTTTACTATTGAAGTGGTTTGTAAATTAAGAGGATTTTTTTCAGTGCTACAAAACAATCTTTTTTCCCCAAACACCCAATCAAAACCTTCTGATAGAAAATCTTTTTAATAAAGGTTTTAATGGGTGATGTAAAAATGAAATACTGCATTTGCATTATGACTCCTTTCTAAATTTAGTCTATTATTGAAGTCTTACATGTGATGAATTTTTTTCTAGGTGTGCTAATGAAAATGCACATAAAGATTTTAAGAAAGCAGTAGGAGCATGCAGAATTTTTTACCACCCAGAAACTACACAGCTAATGATACTGGTAAGATATGCGGTATTTTAAGGTAGCTAATTAGCAAGTATTGCACAGATTTTATACTTAGATACTTCAAAAAATAAAAGCACAGTAAGCTTAGTGGAATATTTATTAATATGGTGGAGAAAAAAATTTTTGTAATTATAAAACAATGTAAGTCTAATGTAAATTGAATTAACATGATTATTGTAAGTCGAAAATGTATTTATTATACCTGATCTACCGAACATCAGTGTTTAGTCTAGCCAACCTTAAATGTGCTTTTAATCACTTAACAGTAGCCTACAATTAGGTGGAATCCCCTAACATAAAACCCTGTTTTATAACAGAATATCAAATATATCATATACTTTACTAACTACTGAAAGTGAAAACAGAATGGTTGTATGGATAAATTATGGTATCTACTGAGTGCTTTTTGCCTTCAAACCATCGTAAATTTAAAAAAATTAACAAATTGAACCATACTAAGTTGAGAACTGTACTTTTGATTTCTTCTTCAATGAGAAAAATAAAATGACTAATATGACATACTTAACATTATAAATTGTTAACATATGGGATCCTGGATTCCTCTACCTCCACATGATCTTACAGTTCCAAATAACAGGAAATTCAGAAAGGAAGTAATGATTACTCAGGTGGGGAAGGAGTTTTAGGCAAAGGGGGAAGTGTAGTAGATGAGGATCAAGGAAAGCATCATCTAGAAGAATGTATTTGTTTGGTCAGCAGGTGGCATGATGGTTAAGGCTCTGGACTCACATGGCCGACCCTGGTTCAGTTCCTGGACCTGGCAGCTTGAAAATCACATCGGACATGTGTGCCTAGAATCCTGAAAGGAGAAGGGATTGTGGCATGCCATCCCCTCTAGGGGATGACTTTTTACTTTCCCTCCCTCTCTTTTCAGTGAGTGCACATACCCTATGACAGAAACCTTAAGAAAAAAAGTGTTTGTGTTATTTTGGAAAAAATTATATTTTTGAGTGTTTAACATATTTTTCTGTAGTCTGCCAGTGAAGCAACTGTGAAGAGAGTAAATATTTTAAGTGACATGCATTTGCGAAGTATTCGTACGAAGTTGATGCTTATGTCCAGAAATGAAGAAGCCACTAAGCATTTAGAAGTAAGTGGTTTACTTACTAAATGTATTTTGTATGTCTCATTTAGTTTTTTAGAGTTTGTTTCATGAGAGGAAGGGACAGAAAGAGAAAGAAAAAAAGCACCCTTAACCAGGTCTCTGGATGTGGACCTCCTCTGTTCTCCCTAGCCAGCAAAGATCATGGGCATGCTTAGTATACAGGTCAGCCAGGAGCCCTACTCGCAATCTTGCCTATGGATCCAGCATTGCTGTGAGCAGTGTTTTACAGTCATGCCAGTGAGTCAGCCCTCCTCCCCCTTTTAAGTTTTCTTAGCGAGAGAGAGAGAGAGAGAGAGAGATTGATTGATTGATTGATTGATTGATTGATTGAGCATCCCTGACCTCTGCCAGCCTGGACCATGGACACTTGCATGCTTGGTGTACTCAGGGAGGTCTCTGGGCTAGAACTGGCAACTTTTCCAGTCTGCCTCATAGTGTGTTGGGTTTCACCATTGTGCCATTGATTAACCTGTCCTCCAACTACTTATTTTGTAGGTATAGTCTTTAGTCTCCTACCCTGGCTCAAAATTACTTTTCTTTGGGTTGGCCTTGTAGCCTAGTGGTCAGAGGAGCTAGAGCATACATGACTGACTGTGGTTTGAATCCTGCCCCAGTGAGTTGAAAAACACTCCAGGCACACAGATATGCATGCCTGCACCAAATTCCAACAGGATGGAGAAATGGAAGAAAAGAGATTATAGCATGATCACAACCCATTGGGAAGTACTTCCTCTCTCTCTCTCTCTCTCCTTCCCTCTCTCCCTCTTTCTGGCAAGCACATGCACCCTCTGCCAGATTAAAAAATAACAAAAAGTTACCTATTAGACCTTAGGACCTGCTTTGTGCCACTGTCTAGAGTTACTGTGTCCTTAGAAAAACTGCTTTTCTATTTTTACTTTTATCCAGCATAGCCTTTATTTACTAAAAATGCACAAAACATGGAATGTATCCTTTTAACCATTTGTTAGTGTGTACTTTAGTAGTGTTAAGTGTAGTTACATTGCTGGCAAACCAATCTCAAGAATTTTTTGTCTTGCAAAACTGGGACTCTGTACCCTTTAAACAATTCTCATTTCTGCTGCTATTGAAGTGCCTGGCAACCAGTATTCTCCTTTCTGTTTCTGTAAATTTTACTACTCAAGATACCTTATGGGGTCTGGCAGGTGGCATAGTGGTTATGGATGCTGGACTCTCACATCGCCCACCATGGTTTGAGTCCCAGACCTGGTGTCTTGCTTTCTCGCTCTCTCGCTCACTCTGTCCCTCTCTGGTCAAATTAAAATAAATAAATAAATATACAAATAAATAAAGTTTAGAAATAGAAAAAGATACCTTATGTAAGTGGAGTTGTATAATATTAGTCTCTGCGTGTGTGTACACACACGTGCACATGCCAGAGGGCACATGTGCTTCCTGGAGAGAGGAGAAATCACTGCCACAGGGAATGGTCATGCTGCAGTCTCATCTCCTCTGTTTCTTCCCTCTAGGATTTTGGGCATACTTGTACACGTACCCAGCATGGTTTTTAAGCTGCTGGATTTGGAACTCTTTAACCATACAATTTACCGTGTGAAATCCAGCCACTTAACCACCATGCCATGGGCTGGCCCTGTAGTAGTTTATTTCAGTTAGTGCGATAATCACCAAGTTTCATCTGTGTCATGGCATATGTGAGAATTGCATTCTTTTTTAACGCTATATATATTGCATTATGTGCGTATGCCATGGTTTTTTTGTTCCCTGGTTGATGGACATTTGAATTATTTCTACCTCTTGCCTCATGTGAATAATGTTACCGTGAACGTAAGTGTATAGAAAATTCCTTTGTTATACTCCTTTATAATAAATTCCAATTTCTCTCCTTTACTAGTGCACGAAACAACTTGCAGCAGCTTTTCATGAGGAATTTGTTGTGAGAGAAGATTTAATGGGCCTGGCAATAGGAACACATGGTAGTAACATACAGCAAGCAAGGAAGGTTCCTGGAGTTACTGCGATTGAGCTCGATGAAGATACTGGGACATTTAGAATCTATGGAGAGGTAACCTATTGTCTGTGCTGCCTTAGCTAACATTAACCATCTATCATTTGACCATACTTTAACAGGAATTTAAGTTTTTCAGTGAAATACCTCTGAAATAGAATTGGTTCATTTGAATCAATCTACCTGCTAATCATTACTTACAAAATAAATTGAATTTGATTTGTGTTGGGGGAATGGAAGGTTGACTGAATAATGTGTAATGTTTTCAGAAGTTCCTTAACTGATTCTGAATTAATTCTGTTTTGTGCCCATTACAAATAATTTACCCATGTATTATTTGTGTGCTTAGTATGTGTCAAGTACCGGCAATAGTATATAGTATATAATAGAATACCTTTTATAGAACTCTAATTTGGGTAACACTTCATTAATAGTTAACTTGTAACATTTACAGGGATAGGAAATAAATAAATATTTTTTAAGGAGGTTTTTGCTTTAGGGCACATATGATTGCCAGAGAGAGACAGTGAGAGGGAAAGTAAGAAATTACCCCCAAAGGGGGATGGCCATGCCACAGGCCCTTCTCCTCCCTTCTCCCGGGATCTTGGGCACATATGCACATGTGTCTGGTGTGTTTCAAGCTACCTCCAGTACTTGAACTATGGTTGGCTATTGACATAACTGCTACGCTATCTGCTGACCTAGTAAATTATTTTTATAAATATAATACAGATTTTTATTAGACTGTCTTTCAAATGAGAGTAAATGGATTTTTTTTTTTTAATGATATTTTAAGTTTTACATGTATGGCTGTCATGAAATATAGATTCATACAGTAAATGGGACTAGAAGCTTTATTTTTTTATTTCTAAAAACTTTAAAAGTAGGTAGTATGTGAAAGTAATTGATGATAGCCATTGGAGCCATACTGTATGAGTAACAGTATTATGTATATGTATATTATAGTAGTTATACTTTGTGAATTAAAAATGTTTTTTAAAGTATTTTTTGTATATAGCATACATTGTAACCATATAATAAATTCATGCTATGTTTATAAAAGAATATTAAAAGTTAAAATAGCTATTAATTGAGAAATATAGAATTACTTTAAAAGACCCCCTTCTAATCCTTTAAGATTATATTCATAATTAGAAAATAAGAGTTTCAGTATTTTTTTTTTTAAGTGAGTTAATTTTATTTATTATCATTATTGCTTTTTAATTTGATATTGTGGTTCACCAGAGACAGAGAGAGAGAGAAAGTGAGAAGCTGCCAGATTGGGGATTCGAACTGCACTTAGCCATGTGGGAGTCCAACACTCCAACCAGACCACCTGCTGGCTGGCCACAAATTTTGGTGATCTTATCAGTAGGAATATATATATTTTTGATTTTTTTGTACTTTCAGAGATTTTTGCTCTAGGGCATGTGTACCCACCAGAGATGGAAGAACAGAAAGCAAAAAAATTCCCTCCTCGAGGGATGGCCACACCACAATCCCTTCTCTGCCATTCTCCTTTCAGGATTTTGGGCACACACACATACCTGCCTGGTGTGAGTTTTAAGCCACCATCCAGGACTCAACCCATGGCCAACTACATGGGAGTCCAGCAATGTAACCATTACACTATCTGCTGGTCCCCAGTAGGAATATTTTAAAAATATCTCTGTAGAAACAACTTTTAAAATTAATTCTGATGTTGAAAATATATAAAACAATGCATACAGTTCAGAGAATCTATATAATTAATGTTTTTAACATTTGCCTGGAGAAATAAAGAATGGGAATATGGACAAGTGTATTAAAGATAAGTTAAGGTTTACCTACCTACTCAATAGCTGTAAAAATATAAGTGACAGAATCTGCACCTGATTTTCTCAGTAGCTTAAAAAGGGACCTTAAGAATGCCTGACATTTTTGGGACTAGCCCTGTGTTCTTGTCATTAAGGGAATCAGATCACATATGCTGACTCTCTGGTTTGAATCTGCGTGCATTCTCCAAATTCCTACAGAGTGGGAGAATGGTGGAGAAGGGACAGTGTGACTATGTCCCTTTAGAGGATGCTCTTTTCCTCTCTCCTCCTTTCTCTGGCAAGCACTGTTGCCCTCTGGCAAATTAAAAAATCACATATTTTTGTTTCTTGTTTTTGTTTTACTTTATTCATGATAGAGTGAATGGGAGAAAGAGCTTGGTCACGCTGATCACCTCCCACCAGTCTGTTAGATCTTGAACACTTGGCTTGTGTTCCTGGCGTGTTTCTGGTTGACTGGGGATTCAGATTGCATTCACCATGTGGTGATCCTGCTTCTCTTAAGCAGGGCATTACCACTGTATCACAGTCGGCTCCATTATTTGTTTTTTGTTTTTTCTTTCTTTTTTTTTCTTTTTTTTTTTTCTGGTATAGAGTGCATGCGCTTGCCAGAAAGACAGACAGAAAGCGAGAAATCACCCCCCAGGGGTGATTGCCACGCCACAATCCCTTCTCCTTCATTCTCCTCTCGGGATCTTGGGCATGTACACAAACGTGCCCAGCGTGAGTTTAAGCCACTGGGTCCGGGACTCGAACCACAATCGACTATGTGGGAGTCCAGCGACATGGCTATTATGCTAACTGCTGGTCCCCCATTGTTTGGTTTTAATAGTACTGACAGTTTCTGCATTTGTTTTTCTCCTTAGCCTTTTTTAAAAATTATTTCATTTTATTTATTTTTTTTTTGAGAGGTTTTTCACTATAGGGCATGTGCACTCACCAGACAGACAGAGAGAGACATAGAGACAGAAAGTGAGAAATCGCCCCCAAGGGGGGATGGTCACGCCGCAATCCCTTCTCCATTCTCCTCTCAGGATCTTGGGCACACACGCACACGCGCCCAGCGTGAGTTTTAAGCCACCGGGTCCGGGACGCGAACTGCGGTTGACTACGTGGGAGTCCAGTGACATAGCCATTACGCTAACTGTTGGTTCCCCCCCTTAGCCTTTTAATGATTACTTTTTTAAGAAACTGAATGAATTGCTTATCTTGAAATGACTCTCCATTGGGCTGGTTAGAATCCTAGCAAAGCATAATTCAGAATTTTCTCTTTTCCCATATTTTTGTTTTCGATTGTGAGTTGCTTCAGGACTGAAATGGTTTCATGTTTATTTTTCTCTTCCCTCCTCCCCTCCCCATTTACAGAGTGCTGATGCTGTAAAAAAGGCTAGAGGTTTCTTGGAATTTGTGGAGGATTTTATTCAGGTTCCTAGGAATCTTGTTGGTAGGTACTAACTATCAAGTATTAAATAAATAAAATGTTACTTGGTTTTATGTATTGACTTACATGAAAATAAGACTACTTATAGTTATGTAGAGTATTTAGATAGTAATACTTTAATTTTTGGGGGGTGAGATGATAGTATGTGACTTATACCTTTTATTGTCATGTATTAGAAAGTGTTAACATTGTCATATATTCTGTACAGGGTGATCCACTAAAGATCAATAATTTTTGTAACAGTTGGCCATTTCAGTTTTTTTTTTTTTTTTAAGCCTTCTCATTTCTTGGGTTCTTTCCTATTATTTTTATTCCTTTAATGTCTTTCTTATCATTCATATATCCATCAAAATTGTGATAGTACTTTACGAGAAGGTGTTTGTGATAATTTTTTTCTTTTGTTTAGTGCAGAAGAAAAAGTAACAGTGGACTAACAATAGGGTAATAGACTTCTACACAGTAGGCCCTGAATAAATAATAATTGGTTGTTGCAAAGGCATAGAATAAGGTAAGAAGTTGTGGGGAGGAGAGAAGGCTGGTGATAATGATATGAGGGGAGGCTTCACTATTAAGTGCTTGACACCATTAATGAAAACTTTTGTACCCGTGGGTTATAAGTGACAAGAACTTACAGCTGTTTAATTAATATGCCCTATATCTGTGTGTTTCTTAAGTGGTAGTGGAGACAAATTGGAAGACTTCAGTTTTGTATTAAGTACTCAGTGATTATCCTAAAAATTGAATATAAAAGCATCAATTTAATGTAGTGGAATTTACTGGGAAGGGAATAAGTTTTTGTTTCCTATCGACTGTTACTAATTTTTTGACCTTGTGTAAGTAGTTTTAACCCTTTAGGCTTCACTTATGTATAAGGCTACCCTTTCTACCTTTAGGAAGCAACTTCTTAGCTTAGTTGTATACTGCCAGTCATGTAAGTTCTACTTTATCAGTTCTTGGTATACTGTCATTCATGGTAGGCTGAACTAGAGAGAGAGTTGAGGTATTGAAATTGGATATAAGTTTGAACAATTTTATGTAATTTTTATGAACATTGTTAAGATACAAAATGTTATCAGGTATTTGTTTTCAGATGAAATCACCTTTGAAAATAACGCTGCTTTTGAACGTGGTCCTCCTTTTTTGATTTGTTTAAATTGTAAATTGTTGACATATGTCAGCACTAGCATTGCGCTAGTTGCTGTACAGCACATAATTTAACTTTTGTGAAGATGATTTGGTGGTGAGTTTGTGAAGAGGATTAGGTTTTTTCTATACAGGTAGCTGGTTTTACAGAGTTAGTGGTAGTGTTAATTGCGAGTAAAAATTCCCTGTTATTTCAGAAGTAAAGGAACTTGATATATTTATAGTTCTGTGATTTTTGTTGTCTTTTTTTCTCTGTCCTGTGTTAGTTGGACTTTGTGATGTGGGTTGTGTGCTTTTTAGGAAGTTCACATTAGCAGCATCTTGCATGTTGGTGGACTAACTCATGAGTAGTATGACAATTTCTATTGGTTGTCATGTGTAATCATTGTATTTCCCTCCAAAATGTTCCACGAGCGAAGCAATCTTTTGAACATTAGTGCACACTTAGTCCAAATGAAAGAAAAAGAGGACTGAGGAATAAAAAGGGAATGAGGACCACTTGGTGAGTAAGTTCCAGAAAGGATGATGTTACACAGTTTGAGTTTGAAGAGTGCTAGTATTTGACTATTCCCACCTCTCCCAAATCACGGGAAAAAATATTGTTTGACCATTGGTTTGAAAAGTGAATCAAAATTTTCACCTCCTGGATGCCTTCCTTAATCAGTTCTCTGCTCTGTCCCTTCAGCATTTATACTCACTACTCAGTTTATACTACAAGTATGTTTTAATTTGTTAATATGCTCTGGAATTTATGGAAGTATTAAATTACGTGCTGATGCTCTCCCGTGAGACTAAATAAAACTTGCAGGTAGGTCCCTGTCAAGGACCTCAGAAGGGTGATGGAAGTTCGTTCACTCACCATTGATGTAGTTGACAAGAAGGAAGTGGCAAAGATTCTGGGGGGAAGGGATTGTGATATATCAACCTAAATTTTGTTCTTTGAAAAGACATTTGCTTATTTTTAGGGATGAAGTTGCTGCTTAAGCTTCACTGTATTAACAATGGAGGTTGGTTTTATTGCTCATCCTAGGGCTGCTCAGAGAAGACATGCAACATGTGAATTCCTTGATCTCTTTATTTTACCTAGTTAATGTTTATTTACTTGTTCAGTTGCCACTGCTTTTAAATGTAAGGTTATTAACAGGGAAAGTGGTCTAGAGTAGGACTGTAAGAGTGAGAAAATCTCATTACAGTGCTTTTGCTGTATTGACCAATTTAGGTTATTCCATTCTTCCTTTATTCATTCTTTAATGTTAACTGTTCTTTCAAGCATGCAGTAGGAAAAACTTGCATTTTAACCCTTTTCAACTAAAGTTAAACTTTTGTGACAATGGTTTCCTAAAAAAATTAAGGTGATGTGCACTTGCTAACAGTTGTGTTATTAGCTTTGTAAGGGATGTATGTGTTCCATACAGTGAAGATTATCTGAATATTTACTTCTGTTCCTAGCTGACACTATGCAGTGTTACTTTGTTATTTTGCATGAGTATGTTAAACTTTATAACTAGATAATTAAATAATTGGGAGAAGACTGTCTTCACCACCTCCCCGTTGATTATTTCTTGAATGATTGATACTCAACTGCAGATTGACAAACTAAGTGTAGAGAAGGAAAATAATCAGAATTTTTTTTTCATTTCATACCTCACAAGACAGTGAGCACATCACAAATCTATGATGTACCTGTATAAAACTGTGAATTACTTTAAAAACTAGCGTGAAATGTAATCCTTGTTAAATGTAACCATTTTATTTACTGTAGAGATTATCCATTCTAAGACTACCTTCAGGTCACAGATCTCTCTCTCCCCACCCTTTTGTTTTTGTTTTTAAATTTTATGGATTCAGTTTTACCAGAGATAGAGAGAGAGAGAGGAGGATGAGAAAGCAAGCTGCCAGGTCCAGGACTTGAACTGCAGTTGGCTATGTGGAAGTCCAGTGCCCCAACCACCATACCACCAGCTGGTCCCACAGATCTCTTTTGGACAAGCAGAAACTTAAAAACAAGATTGATGAATTTGTTACTTGCGTGGATATCATATATAATAAATTGATATGATTAACTCCAGATTAAAGTAGTATTCTCTCTCTCATGTATATATTCAAGGTTTTTTAACTGGGTTAAAGTTGATATTTTAAAAATAAGAGGGTGATAGAGAACGTACTAAAAATGTTTGGACTAAAAATGTCTTGTACGTGAACAGCGTTCTTGATCTTAGATTAAAAAACCTTTGATATGTTCAAGAAAAGGAGTCAAACCAAGGGTAAAATTCTTGGCTAGCCTTTAGGGTGAGTTAATTGAAAGTAAAATGATAGAAGTTTGCTTGGTGTTTGTAATTTCATAGCAAATGATAAATTATTTGGGTTGGTTTCAAAACAGTTCTAGAATTGGTTTTTAATTTTTCATTATATTTGTTTTCTGTTACTAAAGGAAAAGTAATTGGAAAAAATGGCAAAGTTATTCAAGAAATAGTGGACAAATCTGGTGTGGTTCGGGTGCGAATTGAAGGAGACAATGAAAATAAATTACCTAGAGAAGATGTAAGTATTTAAATGTAATTTATATTTGCCTATTTTTCTTGCCTATTTGCCTGTTTTGTTCTTGGCAGATGATAATATCTTGCTTTGTATTTTGGAAATAATTTCAGAAATAAATCTATTGATCTAGTTATACTTTGATATAGTGGGGTTTTCTTTGCCTCTTTTTTGTTTTGTTGTTGTTGTTTTTAAATTGCCAGAGGGCAGTATGCATTTGGTAAGGAGTGATAGATAGTCCAGCCTCCCCCTGGTGGGGTGATTTCTTCCTTTCTCACTATGTCTGTCTCTCTGGTGAGCACACAACATCCTAAGGGGGGGGGGACTTCTTTTTTTTGGAGAGGTTTTTGCTATAGGACGCGTGTGCTCACCAGAAAGAGAGAGAGAGACAGCGAGAAATCACCCCCTCAGGGGAGATGGCCATGTTGTGATCCCTTCTCCTCCGTTCTCCTCTCGGGATCTTGGGCACGCATGCACATGTGTCTGGCGTGAGTTTAAGTCACCAGGTCCGGGACTCGAACCGTGGTCGACTACATGGGAGTCCAGTGATATAGTCATTACTGCTGGTCCCACAAAAAAAACTCTTAAAAAATAAATGAAAGGAGTGACCTAGAGGGAGAGTGATAAAGCGTCCCCTCAGTGGGCATGGTTATTCTACAGTCCTTTCTCCGTTCTGATAGAATTTAAGTCAAGCAGGATATGACTATTTTAACCCCTAAACTGTAGGGTCAGCCCTTTTTCTTATTTTTTACATTTTTTTAAGAATATTTTACACTTATAATATTATAATATTGCATATAACAGTTCTTTTTTTATTCTTAGACTATAAAGCTGTAGAATTTAGTGTGTTCAACAAAATAGTTTAGTATAAAGGAATTCCTTTTTTTTTTTGGAGAGGTTTTTGCTATAGGGCGCGTGTGCTCGCCAGACAGAGAGAAACAGAGAAACAGAAAGCAAGAAATCACCCCCCCCTCCCCCAGGGGGAATGGCCATGCTGCAATCCCTTCTCCTCTCGGGATCTTGGGCAGGCACGCACACGCGCCCAGCATGAGTTTTAAACCACTGGGTCCAGGATGCGAACTGCGGTCGACTACGTGGGAGTCCAGCGGCATAGCCATTACTCTAACTGCTGGTCCCTATAAAGGAATTCTTGATCACGCTGTCTCTGACTTTATAGAATCTTAAAGAATTGTTCACCTTTTAACAGAAATTCCTTTAATCTTATATATCACTATTAACTCAGATCCCAACTTTGTGGAATTAGTTTTTCAATTTCTTTCTTTCCATATGTTTTGTTCACAATACTGTTACTCATTCAGCACTTGAGAATTTCACTCACAGTTGTGTCAACTATGTGTCCTTGGCCTAGGCTTTTTAAAAATGCCTGAAATAATTTTTTCTAAAATTACATCCCAGAAAGTAGTAAACTAACAATCTCCTCAGATTTGCAGTTTGGGCAGTTTCTTAACCTGTTGGATAGTGTTTAAGAAGAGAGGGAAAGTATGTGTGCACGTAAACTGTATGGTAACAACTATTGTTTTCAAGATGCCCTTAAGGTAACCACTTTTATTTTTAGTGTGTACAGATGATGAAGGTGAATGAATGAGGAAAAAGGAATATCAAGGTATTATATAAATGAATACTTGTGGCTTGGGGTGCTTTTGTCAGTAATTTTATTCTATACTACATTGAAAAGTGTTGTAAATGGCAGGGCTGGCGGGTGGCATGGTGGTTAAAGCACTGGACTCCCAGTTGGCTTACTGTGGTGTGAGTCCCGGACCTGGCAGATTACTTTCTCACTGTCCCCTTCTCTTTCTCTGGTCAAATTAAAAAATAAATAAATAAATTCCTTAAAAAATAAAAGTGTAAATTGCATATCACTTTGCCTTATTCCTTATGAGCATCCTCTCGCTCCCATTTTGCATGATTTTAAGATTTGCTTTAAAATAAGAATTAGAATTGATGGTATCATACCATTAGAATCAGCACTGTTCTTTACATTTGTGTCTTGTCCAGGTGATCAAACAACCACCACCTAAAAATTGTTTTGAAGGTGATGTGTACTGGCAGGGTCATTAAGTGGCTCAACTCTATAAATTTCTAAGTTTCCTATTAATACCTCGTTTTTCCTTTAGCTTCACCAATCCCCAGTGGCTTTGCCATTTTGTTGTAAGCTTATTCTTCTAGATTCTCCTTCATAAATAAGAATTTAAATGCTTTTTCTTCTGCTAATAGTATTGGCCATTGTACTACCATTTCTGTCCTAAGGTTAAAAATGTAAATACAGGGAACCAGCAGTTAGCGTAATGGCTATGTCACTGGACTCCCACGTAGTCGACCGCGGTTCGTGTCCCGGACCCGGTGGCTTAAAACTCACGCCGGGCGCATGTGCGTGCGTGCCCAAGATCCCGAGAGGAGAATGGAGGAGAAGGGATTGCGGCATGACCATCCTCCCTGGAGGGTGATTTCTCGCTTTCTGTCTCTATGTCTCTCTCTCTGTCTGGCGAGCGCACGCACCCTACAGTGAAAATCTCTCAAAAAAAAAAAATGTAAATACAAAAGGAAAAGAAGGATTCACAGCAGCATAGCAGCGAAATTGGACACTTTATAAGGCTGACCCACATGGGAGATTCTGGATTTGTACTGAGTCCTCCCTGTATATATGCTGGACATGCATGTGCCATGATCCAAAGCCATCTGATGCTGAGCTTGGTTTGTGGCATCTGAGCCCTATTGGAGAAGCTGTCTATCAGCCTTTTTCTCACTCATGGAAGAAATAAATTAATTTTTTTTTTGGTAGTCAGGCTTTAAATGTAAATAATTAAGCAGGTGGGGATGTATAAGATAGGGTTGGGGGGACCTGCAGTTAGCGTAATGGCTATGTCGTTGGACTCCCATGTAGTTGACCGCGGTTTGAGTCCTGGACCCAGCGGCTTAAACTGACACCAGGTGCATGTGCGTGTGTTCACGATCCCGAGAGGAGAATGAAGGAGAGGGGATTGTGGTGTGGCCATCCCTGGGTTGGGTAATTTCTTATTTTCTGTCTCTGGCAAGCACATGCACTCTGTAGCTGAAATCTTTCTTAAAGAAAAAAAAAGAATAGTTTATAAACAATGTGCCATAGAGGATTCCTTTTACCTCTCCTCTTCAAAGTGACTTGGTGATATTTACCTTTGAAGATCAAGGTATCACATTTCTTTTATTCTTTGTAGATGAGCTGCTTGGAATGACTTTCTTTACTTGGTTAAAAATATATTTTCTTTTTCTTTCTTTTCTTTTCTTTTGGAGAGGTTTTTGCTGTAGGGCACGTGTACTTGCCAGAAAGGCAGAGTCACAGAGACAGATAGCGAGAAATCACCCCTCAGAGTGGATGGCCATGCCGCAATCCCTTCTCCTCCATTCTCCTCTTGGGATCTTGGGCATTGCACATGCGCCTGGCCTGAGTTTAAGCTACCGGGTCTGGGACTCGAACTGCAGTCAACTACATGGGAGTTCAGCGACATAGCCATTACACCAACTGCTGATCCCAACAGTCTTATTTATTCTCCTATGTTCCCCTATGTTTTTGCACCTAGGGTGGCATAATTCATATTTTACTTTATATTCCTGTTTTTTGGTCATATCACATTGAGTTTATTACAGGAATGTTTAGTATCTTCTGAGATTGTGATACCTTTAGAATGGGGACTTTATGTATCATTATACCTATCTATTATAGATCTTGGTGGTTAACAAATATTTGGAATAGCTAACTAGATGTGAAATTGACTAGCTCAGTAGCTAATTCATGTTTTTAGGCTCTTTATTTTCGTTCAACTGTATAACTGGGATATTATTTTTAATGAAGATTAGATAAAATATACAAGGCATAATATAGCCTCAGAAATACAGCATGTATTTAAAAGTTTTTAGGTCTGTTTCCCATCCTTTTTTTTTACTTTGCCCTCTTAGCTGCTTATATATTCCTGAGAGCAAAGAAAAAGCTTCCTCACTTCATAACCTTAAGTTAGATTCTCTTGTTTCATTCCTTCATAGTTGAGATTAATTCTATAGTCACTATAGCATTCTGTAAGCTCCGTGATAGCGGTGTTTTGTGCTGCATCCTAGCACCTTCTCCTAGTACCTTTCTTTCTACTTTTAGTTTTTACTATAAGGGTGTATGTGGAAAGAGAAAGAGTGAGAGATCACCTTCCAGAGGGGATAGCCATACCACAGTCCCTTCTCCATTCTCCTCTGGGGATTTTGGATATGCACACACGTGTGCCCAACTCGATTTTCAATCCATTGGTAGGAACTTACATTGTAGCACATTTGGCCATGTGGGACCCAGTTACCTTAACCATCATGCCACCTGCTGACCTGCTTTTCTTCTTTTTCATTGGCCATGTTGCAAAAGTCACCAATTACAATTCTTTTTAGAAATTATGTTGAAATTGGAGTCAGCAGGTGGTGTGGTTGTTAAGGGTACTGGACTCCTTCCACATGGCCGGATATGGTTTGAGTCTTGGACTTGTAATTTCCTCCTTCCATGTGCAAGACAGAGACCAAGAGAACAGACAGCACTCCACCTGTACGCAGGTTTACCCAGCCTCTGATTATGGGCATAAGCATTTCTGGTATATTTAAGGAGGTTGCCAGGCATGAACCCAGAACCTTCCTATTTAGATCAGCCTCAGTGAGTGTCAGGTTTTTACCACTGTGCTACTGACCAGCCCCTAGACCTGAAAGTTCTTAAGCTATAACTCTTTCTGTATTTAGAATTTAGAAACCTTATGCCAGTTTGTATAAATATCTGTTGGGAAATATTCTGTAAAATTCAGGAAATGAAAGTCATTGAAACTGATTGGGTGAGTTTATTTTAGGCCTTAAATCTCATTTTTTTAAGCTATTAGGACACTGAAAGTGTTTTTCCTCTTTTTAAACTTCCTATTCTGAAATTCAGCAAACTTAAGAGCAAGTCTGAGTGAATTCTTTCATTTACTTAATACCTGTGACTTAAGTCTGCTCCTATCAGTAACTGCTTTATATTGTGTAAACATTTATGCGCTATAAATGTTATTTCTTTGACTGGTCAGAGAGCAGCCCCTGTGGTACAGACACTCCATGTTCTCTGCACACATATTAACCTGCTTAATGTGCTTTATTGGGTTTTAAAGCTCTGCCTCCTAAGAAGATATATCTATTTGGTTGTTTGGAAAGTCACGACATAATATTCTATGCAAAAATGCATCATGGCTATCCCAACACCCAAAATTCTGTAAGTTCATGGCTAGTCTGGGAAAATGCCAGTGTATTCCTTTGCGAGAGAGAGAGAGAGAGAATGCTTAAGTCAACTCACACCCTCGCTCAGTCCTTTTTTCCTTCATTTCTTCACCCATCAGGATCCTGGGCATCTTCGCTCATGCCGAGTGAGTTTTTCAAGCTGCTCTGGCCAGGATTTAAACTTTCATTGGCCATGCAGAAACCAGCTTCCTCTGCACAGCACAGAGCTGCTGTACTTTGGAACCATACCTGAAGAAAAACTTTTAACTTTAAATGTTGGCTTATGTATTTGGAACATAAGAAAAAGATAAGTCAGAAATCAGAAAACAAGATATAAATGAATTTTATAAAATGATTTTTAAAAATTTTTAGTACACTTGAATGAATATATCATAAATATGCAATTAGTAAAAATCTCAGTATTTCATATTAGTATTTTTTATGTAAAACGTTGAAATATTATAGATGTATATTGCTGTGTGTTTCGGAAGAGTTTTCCAAATTATATATTGGTATGTGTTTCTGAAAAGTTTTCTGAATTATATATTAGTATGTGACATTCAGGTAGGATTTTGTTAAAAGTATTAAATACTGAGGATATTGTGTTTCCTTACAGGGAATGGTTCCATTTGTATTTGTTGGTACTAAAGAAAGCATTGGAAATGTGCAAGTTCTTTTAGAGTATCATATTGCTTATCTAAAGGTTTGTATCCTGTTCATAATATTTTCTCATACCATTGCTAGTACATTTTCTGCATAAATATTGTACATTTACAGCTAACAAATCCAAAATATCCATGTCCTTATACTATGTTTATTTTCAGATTTTTAAGGATTTTGTTAGTTTATCTTCACCTTTACCTTGTTTTGCTACATGATAATTTAAAAATAAAAATCTTCCACCATAAGAAAATGAGTGTGCTCATGGACATTATTTCCCTTATGTTCTTCTGAGTTTAAAATTAAAAAAAAAAATTGTTTTAGCCTTTAACCTTTTAACAGTATTAATAACCAGGTGAGCGTGGTAGGAAGTCTTTTCCAACCCTGCTCATGCAGACTCAAAGCTTACATTCTTCTTTGGAACAAACTGTTTATAAGGTTATTCCAGTTGTAAAATTTCTCTCCATCTTTTCTCCCTGTATTCCTCTATTTAGTCTTAGCTGCCTCAATCAGACAGAAAGCATAAAGGAACTTTTTTCTTGAATCTGTAGTGGAAACTTGAGCAGTAGACAGTAACTGCTCTAGGTCTGTCTGGGCTTTTATGTTTCTTTTCTTATTTAGGAAATGGTCACTTTTTATATTCATATGATTTGACTGTTACTGTGTATCTTCTCATTCTATACTAGAGACATTTGTTTCTACCTTTTTAAAAATTTTTGTTAATTCATTCATTCATTTTATTTGACGAGAGTGGGGGGGGGGAGAGGAGGAGAGAGAGAGAGAGAAAGTGAGAAAGCAAGCCACCAGGTCTGGGACTTGAACCGTGGTCGGCCATGTGTGACTGTAAAAGTGCCTTAACCACCATGCTACCTGCTGGTCCCCATTTCTACCTTCTTACTGTACATACAAATAAGGTACAGAACCATGAATGACATTGGGCTTTCTTGGTAATTTTGATTATTATCTGAATCAGTTACATTGCCCCAATAAAAATCATTTGAGTTTTCATCTATTGTTACGAAAATAGTCTTACTTGAGTTGATACACAAAGAGCAAAGCGTTTAAAAAAAGGAATGAGTAACAAATTATTAAATATTATGATTATATTTTCCCACTGTTTTTTCTTTCATTCTCTCTCACCTTTGCTCCTAGGTTTTTTCTCTTTTTAAGTATGTATTTATATCTTCCATATGCGTGAGAGTGAGCAAGAGTGCACGGCTAGTGAAAGACACCCCAGTAGGTTCTTCATTCCACAGTCTACCCAGTCTAGCCCAGCCTGGATGATGAGCATGCCCTGTGTGCCCAGTATGCACAAGAAAGTCCCCTTCTTACATGGGTCCAGTTGCATTACCACTGCACTATCACTTGGCCCCACTGTTAGTATGTTGAAAGCACTCCAATAATTCCTTTTATTTGAAAGTCATCTTTATAAGTTTCGATTCACAATGATACTGTAAGCTAACACTTTATTTTCTGGTACTCTTTTTATCTCTTTTAGCCAACAGTTTTCTCTAGATAACAGTTTTATATAACTGTTTTTTAAAAATCTTGAAGTTGGAGAGTCCTTATTATCTTTGATATTATATGTTGGTAGCACATTCTAAAGTATTCATAAGCATTTAAATTGAATCAGCAAATGACCTTGAATTGTGTTTACTACAACACAGTGCTAGTTCACCAACTAATGTCACAGCTTCTTCATTTAAAAGAGAGTACAGCTCTAGCACTAGCTCTAGACTTCTTTCTTTTTAGCCATAGGATATGTACTTTGGCAAGAGAGAGAGCATTTGAGTGTAAGCATACTTCCCAATAGGGTGTGGTCATGCTCCAGTCCTTTTTCTTCCATTTTTCCATCCTGTCATTCTTTGGGGGACACATGGCACAATGCTGCTGGAGCTGGAATTCAAACTGTGGTTAGCCATGTGGGGTCCATTGCTGTCTATCCACAGGGTTGTGGAGTTGGCCCTAGCACTATGCTTTAAGAAGGCAAATAGTTGCTTACAAGAAAACTTACCATTTCTGTTTTGATTGTAGGAAGTAGAACAACTAAGAATGGAACGCTTACAGATTGATGAACAACTTCGGCAGATTGGTATGGGTTTCAGACCTTCTTCCACCAGAGGGCCTGAAAAAGAGAAAGGATATGCCACTGATGAAAGTACCGTCTCTTCTGTACAAGGTTCTAGGTCTTATAGTGGAAGAGGCAGAGGTCGTCGCGGCCCTAATTACACCTCCGGTTATGGTAAAAAGTGTTTTTTTCTCCCCCCCCTCCCCCAGATAGTACTAGTAGAAGTACTAGCTTAGATGCTTCAACACATTCTATTATAATTAACTCATCACTCTATCTTGGCTTTTAGTGTAGAAGGCAATTCTGAAGTATATGTCTTAGTGAGGACATATTTTATGTAATTCCTAAGCAGTCATCTAATTAAATGAAGAATGTTTTTAAGCTGGTAGTTCATAATCATGTTTATTTTAAATATTTAGAAATAATATTTGGAAACTGGTTTTCCAAATGTTTCTCTAGTACTGTTTTATGCATTTCCTAGTATAAACCTTGTAATGATAGTGGTACTGCTATGAATTATCTTTTGTATACCCTGTTAGAAAAGTAGAAATGGAAAGTATCACTGTGCCAAGATGACTTTTAAAATACATGTTGTAGACCCATTTGGTAGATGTGAATATATTAACTAACATCTCATATCTGGAAATATTTTTTGTAATGATAGAATTTCACTGAAATAAGGGCTTTTTAAAAAGCCAGAACCTAACATTTTATAAATGACCATTTTCTAAAATTTGTATCACAGTGAGGATGGGGCCTAACTCATATAGGAAAGGACTGATAGCATGGTGATAGCATTTCTCTAATCCTAAATTCTTACTTCTTCTTCTTCAGCTTTTGAAGTTCCCTTTTTCTACATTTCACCTTGGATCTTAGCAGTGACCTGATTTTTTTCTTCTCCTTTATTTATTTATTTTTTCTCTTCCCTCCTTTTTGACTCCCCTGTGTATGTTATGCTCATGCTGTTTTGGGAAAATAAGTTTGTAAACCTTTTGCAAAATGTATGGCATATAAAAAGAAAAAAATATATTGTAGAACACTCAGAGGTTTTGGTAACACAATTTCTGGTAACACAATTGAATTGTACTCTAAAAAAAATTAAGAAGGCTATTTATTGAGCTGGCCTTATAACCAAATGGTTAAGGGAGCCAGAGCACACATGGTTGACTGCATGGTTTGAACCCCAACCCTGATGGCTTGGGGTGGGAGGAACACCAGGCACATGTGTATGTATGCTTAGAATCCCAGCATAGTAGAGGGAGGGATTGTGGCATGACCACACTCATAGGGACTGCTTTCTTTTGTTTCCTCTTGACTGGTGCGTGCATGTCTCTGGCAAATTTAAAAAATAAATAAGTAGAAGTAAGTTCACAGGATGTAGATTCTAGGTCCAAATTTCATATTTGACTAAATGATCCCCTAATGATGCCAGGGTTATGTCGAACTTGTACTGTCTTTTGTTTGTTGTAGATTTAGAAGGCTAAATAGTTCTTCTCTTTAGTATCATATTATTATATCTCCATATTCTCATTTTCATTTTTTAAAATACTTATCTGTTCAATTTCATTTTATCATCATTATTATTATTTTAATTTGACCAGAGAGAAAAAAAAGGAAAGTGGGAAAGTAAGCCACCAGGTCTGAGACTCAAACTACAGTTGGTCATGTGGGGAGTTCAGCACCTTAATCGCCATGCCACCTGCTGGTCCTCTACATTCTCATTTTCTTAATACTTCTTTTAAGTAACCTCATACTGAAACCTGAAAAGCCAAATTCTAGTGTACTTTAGTGTTCATCACACTCATACACAAGAACTCCAAACCTGAATATAAATTTAATACAAAAGACAGCGTTTAAGTAGAAATTAAATGTTCAGATTGACTTTGGAAGCTTTAATTGTCAGATTTGGGTGTTTTAGATGATGAGAATTCATTGATAAGTTTTATTAGCCTCTGTGGGAAGTCTGCTTACTGGTGAAAGGCCACCCTGGCCACCTTTCACAAAATGTTTATATTGAGAGTAGATATTGTAATAAGAGTAGTAAAACAGCATAGTGAGACTTAAAGAAAGCTGTGCAAATTGTTCAGTAGATGGCAGTCTTAACCTTTTAATATTTGCAGATCTAGTTATATTGTATTTCTTAAAACAGCTGTTGAACTTGAGTGGTCTCCAGACATAAAAACCATTTGTGCATTTGGTTATAGACATTCTTATACATTTTTTATAAGAAAGATTTTTAGGTGAAAATATATATCAGTTCTATCAGAAATATTTTTCCGTATAGTATCTCTGATGTTCATTGTCTTACGTTGGATGGTATCATACAACTCTAATTAAACACTCTTTATTAATGGCACTCAGATTATTTGTCTTAAAATGATGCACTTGTAAGTGATAAAATGGGTACCTCTAGTTATTAAATTTGGCACACATAACCATTGAAAATGTGGACAATCTTCAACAATAATATTATTTTGGAAGTATTAAAGGGGATTTTAAAAAAAGTTAAAAACAGATTGCCTATTTTAGATCATTACAAATTGGACCAGTGTGATGAATCATTTTTTTAAAAAATAATTTATTATTATTTTTTAAATTGACAAGAGAAGGGGAGAGAGAAATAGAGCAAGCCGCCAGGTCCGGGACTTGAAACGTGGTCGGCCATGTGGGAGTCCAGCACCTTAAATACCATGCCACCTGCTGACCTGCACTGAATCATTTTTTGAGCTTAAAAATTTTTTTCTTGAATCACGAACTTGTATTTTACAAAAATGAGAGTTGGAAATTTATTTATTTTAAATACTGTAGCTTGAATAAGTTGTCACAAACTTAGACTTCAACAGCATGAATTTATTTTGTTGGTCAGAGGTATGACATGGGCTAAAGTCTTAAGTCAAGCTGTATTCCTTTCCAGGGGATCTAGAGCAGGGACCCCAAGCCCCTGGGCCATGGATAGACTGGGGTCCATGGCCTGTTAACCTGCATACCAATCCCTCCACAGACGGGGTTGGGAGGGTGGGAAAGCAAGGGAGGATTTATATGTGCTTGCAGTCACTCACATTGCCTCTTAGGCCCTGCCAGCTGTGGAGTCAGCAGCATATTGGATTCTCTTGGAAGTCCAAACCCTAATCTGTGATTGTTTCATTATGTATTGTAGTGTGGTAGTGATGGAAATTGGGTGCACAGTGGATGTAGGATACTTAGATTATCCGGTACCAACCTACCCCACTCCAGTCTGGAGAGATTGTCTTCCACAAGGCCTGTCCTTGGTGCCGGGAAAGTTGGAAACCACTGTTCTAGAGGGAGAATCTGTTTTCTTATCACTCCAGCTTCTAGAGACTACCTCAATTTTGGAATTTATGTCCCTCCCTCAATTTTAAAAGGCCTGTTACTGTAGAGCTCTTCTCATGCTGCCATCCCTTCCTCTGCAGATGAGAAAGATTTTACACTGGTTTGCTGTAGGTCCTGTCTGCTCTTATGGGGACACATTAGTTGGGGAGAAAGTAAGAAATCACCACCCAGGGAGGGATTGGTGGCCATGCCACTATCCCATCTTCATTCTCCTTTGGGGATTTTGGGCTTGCTTTCATAGGCACTTGACATGTTTTCTAAGCTGCTGTGTCTGGACTCATACAGCACTGTTGGTCATGTGGGATCCAGCCACTTTAACAACTCTACCACCTGGTGCTCCCATTCTCCACTTTTTTTTGGAGAGGTTTTTGCTATAGGGCGCAAGCTCTTGCCAGAAAGAGACAGACAGAGAGAAATCATCCCCCAGGGCAGATGTCCATGCTGCAATCCCTTCTCCTCCATTCCATTCTCCTGTTGGGATCTTGGGCACGCATGCACATGCGACCCCATTCTCCACTTTTTAAAGACCCATGAAATCAATTAGATAATGTTGCCCATCTCAAAGTCCTTTACCTTAGTCACATCTGTGAAATTCTCATTCCAGTGATACATGGCATCTACTTAAATGCTTTTTTGGCATTTGACAAATAAGTATTAGGGGAGATTAATTTCTTTTCATGAGATTCTCATACCCAACAAAAACTTGAAAGTAAATAATTGCAGGCTAGCAGGTCATGATGTAGTGGTTAAGACGCTGGACTCTCACATGGCTGTACAGTTTAAGTGTCAGACCTGGCGGCTTGCTTTCTCTTCCTCCTCCCTACCCCCATGAGTGCATCCCTCTAGCAAATAAAAAATAATAACAAAAATAAATCTTTAAAAAAGTAAGTAATAGGAAACTTGATGTATTCTTTCTACGATATACTTTCAGCTACTTAATCCCTTCTTCTGTAGTCAACATAATTAATGCATATTTAATGGCATAGGAGAAAGGGATGTGTTGCAGAGTTATCTTTAAAGGAATTGAGTCCTTCAGTTGTTAAATGTTCCATTTTATTCCTTTCACTTTATTACATATTCCTTTGTGTAACTGAAGAGCTCTTGTTTTGCTTTTATTCTCAAATACTGGAGCTTAAATATAGAGAACTATTGGGTCATCAGAAAAGTCACAAACTCTTTTTTGCATAGAAAAATATGTCTTGACTTTTCTGACCACCCAATATTAGATATTTCAGGAAATCACTCTTACTTCAGTATTTAGCAAATGAGGTTCAGAAAATCATGTTGCAAATTTATTAATCAGGAAGAAGTTGTTAAACATATTGTTACTCATTTGGGGGGCATTTAGAAATATGAGATAGAATCCCATTTTTTATCATAGGCCAGCTTTGGTATAATTCCAAAGTGAAAAAGTAAAGAACAGTACATGACACACACTATAATAGATATATGGTGCTTCTTAAGAACATTAGGGAAGGGGAGAGGTCTGTTCGCTCTTAAATTGATCTGAAGCCAGAAATTGAACTAGACTTTAAGAAACAGATACCTGATAAGAGGACAGGAAGAAAGTGGCATATCAGAACTAATAAAGAATAGAGTAGGAGCCAGCAGGTGGTATGGTGGTTAAGGCACTGGATTTCCAGATGACCAACTACGGTTCAAGTCCCAGACTGATAGCTTGAAAATCACACTGGGTACATGTGTGTGCATGCCAAAAATCCAGAGGGAAGAATGAGGAGAAGGAATTGCACCGGGGCCATTTCCCCAGGGGGTAATTTCTCACGTTCCCTCTGTCTCTCACAAAAAAGCACATGTGGCCAAAGGCATAAATCTAAGAAAAAAGAATAGAGTGGGAATGAATTTAAGAGTGATTTGGTCACGTAACATCTGACATTATTATTATTTTTAATTATCAGAGGAGATAAAAGGAGGAGAAAGAGAGTGTGAGCATCCCCCAGTAGGGCATGGTTATGCTACAGTCCTTTTTACTCCCGTTTTCCATCTGGTCAGGATTTGGGGCATACTTGCACATGCTCCTGGTGTGTGTTTCAAGCCACTGGGGCTAGGATTTGAACCGTGGTTGGTCATATGGTTGTTCCAAATATACTGTACTTAAACACTGAGCTTCTGCACTAGCCCATTGCTGACCCTTTAATTGCAATGTGATGATGATACACACTTCTTAGGAAATCTTTTCAGTATTAATGTCAAATATAGTGAAAACACTATTCTTATACAGTGGAATACTATTCAGCCACAGAAAACAGCAAGACTCTGGCATTTGATAGAAAGTGGATGAATACTTGCTGAGTAAAGCAAGTCAGGCTGTGAAAGAGAGACGTTGTGTGTCTCCACTCACTTAACATATACCTACTATCCACACTCTTATGGTAGAGACTGAAAGATTGGAGGACATAAAAACATTGAAAATAGTTATGGAAACTAGAGAGTGTAGAAGGAGGTTGGGAGAGAGGAAGAGGGTAGGGAATGAAATTAGGGAGAAGTAGAGAGGTAAGACATTTGTGGGTCACAGAAATGGCTTATTACTTGTTGATAATGTGTATAGTATTTTCGACTGGACTGAGGTGTATTTCATGTAGGGTAAATTCTCTTTACAAGCTAAATGATACATAGTAATTCAATGTAAATAATAATAGGTACTCTTGCTAGTAAAACATGCTATTTTTATGTACATCCACTGAAGAAAACACTTCCAGTTTGTAAGACAGACACTATCAGTTACTAGAAATGTCTTGATTTCAGAGATGTTAGAGTGTGGGGGGTACACTCCAGAATCAATAAAATAATGGTAGACTGTATCATACCAGCCATGAATTGTTTTTTTTTCCCTAACTTTGATTAAATTTGCTTCTAACATTGAATACTTACTAAGTCATTAAAACCTAAAAATGAATAGAAGCTTTTTTACTATCTATATTAAATCTATTTTAATATTGTAATGGTTTGTATGTTTTCTGTAATTCTGTTGGCTAGTTTCTGCACATCAGAACAATTAACTTTTATATATATCTTGGCTAAAGAGTAATATATATTATTCTAACATTTAGTTCGTGAATTTTTAATTTATTTAAATTTTCATTTAGCTTAATTTCTTCAAGTAACTAGTATGCTTACTTAAACAGTACTTTGCATGAAATAATTTTGAAAATTTTGAAACCTTTTTCAGAAATAGGAATTTAATTGGTTTGTTATCTTCTGCCCGTAGGTACAAATTCTGAGCTGTCTAACCCCTCTGAAACAGAATCTGAGCGTAAAGACGAGCTGAGTGATTGGTCATTGGCAGGAGAAGATGATCGAGAGAGTCGACCTCAGCGTGACAGCAGGAGACGCCCAGGAGGAAGAGGCAGAAGTGTTTCAGGGGGTCGAGGTCGTGGTGGACCACGTGGTGGCAAATCCTCCATCAGTTCTGGTAGTCTTTTATATACTATGTCAGCATCCATTCTTTGTAAACAGTACAACCTTAAGTTAATTCATTTTGCAAAGACATCTATTTTTTACATTTCTCTTTTCACTCCTTATCTTACAGGAAATAGGAACATAAGGGAAAGCACCCTGTAGAATGTAAAGGTTTACTTGGAATATTCAAGTCTGAATTTCCATTTGCTAATTCTCTTGTGTTTTTGACGTTTAGTCCTTCAGTTTAGGGGGCCTTATATAATTGGAAATGTTTTTGTTTTCCCTA